ACCACAAGAGCAAGTGCAGCTGTAATTGCAGTCCATGACATATTCAGACCAATAAGAAATGAAATCAGCATACCAATAGTAACAAGATAAATGCATGTTTTCCATAATATTCCTTTCCATTTCGTCGTTGAGACTTCCTTTTCCTCCAAATATTTAGTAGAGATTGCATCAGGCAATCCATTTACAGATGCCAATCTTTTTGAAGTAACTCCTTCATCTGTCCATTCCTTTGATGCATTTGAGTTTCTTGAGGACTGCGGCACCCCACTAGGGACCCTGTCGATTTCATCCTCATTTGAACTCATACGGGTCCTTTGGGACTCCACAGGACCTGTGTTATGATTGACCACTGGACAGACCTGAATGTCTATAGATTCCAATTCAGAACTCAATTCTTGAGAGTTCAAGGATGCATGTGACATTCTTACTGGTGAAAAGCGATGTGAGATTACATCTTCCTGAGTAACCGCTTCAGTAGCAGGATCTTCTTCCTCCTTCTGAACAGATAACAACTTCCAATACATACATAGAAGAAGCAAAGCATTTACCAAAGTTCCCACAAGCATTGCAGGGAAAATCCCGAATAAGAAGTTTCCAAAAGAGATCTTACTCTGAAGAGCTATGACCAGGTTTTGGGGGTTGCCAATTGGAGTGGCTGATGAACCAATATTTGCACTTGAGGCAAGCGCTAACAGGAATGGATGAGGTGGGAGATTCTGTTGCCTGGCAATTTTTAACACGAACTCGGTCAAAACAACACAAGAGGTATCATTGGTGAAAAAAGCACTGGAAATGGCAGAAATTAGGCAGATTCGACAAAGTAAGTCCTTTGCCCCCTGGCACTTCCATGAGAGCAATTTACTCAAATATTTGAACATATCTGCTCTTTCAAGATAGATACTAGCAACCATTGTCCCAAAGAGAAGACCAAGGATCTGAAGATCAATAGCAGCATATGCTTGTTCAGGAGTTATGACCCTGAACATGACCATGAGCATAGCCCCAAGCAGGGATCCTGCAGTTCTTCCAATAGGCAGGAACGGGAAAGCGGGGAAAAATGTTTTTAGCAGTTGTAAAGAGAAGGAAAAATCAGTTTTTGTTTAAGAGACTACAATTTCACCCCTGGGTTTCGGAGGGCAGTAAGATAACTATATTCTTTTCTACTTCTGTGCCATTTCATAGAACTCATAACTATCGTGAATACGTAGAAAGAAATAATGATGGGGATAACAATCTTGTTACAAAAAAATTGGTGGCAGCCCAGCAAGATAATGCCTCATAAATATGACAATCAGCATATGCGGATCCCATACTGTGAAGTTAAATGTGCCTGTATTTAATTGGAGTGCTACTGTGCTTCCTGTTTTTTTTTGGTAATGAGATAGTTGCCCATTAGTGCTCTATGCAGGACTGTACTAAGTGCAAATCTTTTATGCAGGCGTATAATTTGTCTGAAGACCACAAACCTCATCTTGAGGCTGAGAAAGAAAGGATATTAAAAGCTGGTGGTTATGTTCAATGTGGACGGGTCAATGGGAGTTTAAACCTGGCAAGAGCTATTGGTACTTCACATCTGCTTTATATATTTCTTGAACATTCCTTTCCTTTCCTACTTTTTGTTAAATTGTAACTTTTTTTGGGTAAATTGTTTTATTGTAACTTGATTTAATGGTTTCAGGAGACATGGAGTTAAAGCAGAATAAATCACTGCCTGCTGAAAAGCAAATAGTAACTGCCAATCCTGATATAAACACTGTATGTAGCATCTATATTCTCTATTTTTCCATTGACCCTTTTTATTTCATGCATAGCAATATGGATGTTTTTAGTTTCTCTGATTATTTTCGATAGTGTGAGATATTTGTTTAATATCCTCTAGTGAAAGTACAAATTTGGCCCCAGCCTTGATCAATGATTATTCATTCTTTTCCTTGTCTTGGAACTAGGTTGAGCTTTGCGATGACGATGATTTTCTCATTCTAGCTTGTGATGGGATATGGTAAGTCTTGTACTAGTGTGTCCTTTAAACAGCTTATAAAATCCACATGTTTACAACTTGATGCTGCTGTAATGCATTATTGGTATTGCTTTATTTTATTTTGCTTCTTCCCTTTATTGTTCTAGGGATTGCATGTCAAGCCAACAGCTAGTGGACTTTGTACAGGAACAATTGAATACCGTAAGATTCTTAATACCTGTTCCGGGACATTATAGGTGTACTTTGTGAAAATTAAAACAGAAAGCTGTTATAAATTATGCAGGAAAGTAAGCTTTCAGTGGTGTGCGAAAGGGTGTTTGACAAGTGTCTGGCTCCATCAGCCGGAGGGGAGGGATGCGACAACATGACCATGATCTTGGTGAAGTTCAAGAAACCTTGCGATTTTGGTCCTTCTACAAAGGAACATACTCTGCCCTCCGATCAACAATCTGAAACTGATCAAAATCCAGCAGAACCTGAATCTAAGTAGAGGTAACCCCTCATTCTACCCAACTTCCTTGTAAAGTTAG